TCTCCATGTCCCTGGGAATGTAGAGACCCAATGTTTCTGCTTGGAGTGAGGCTGGCTACACCTTGAAGGGCATTCAGAGGGGCAAAGTCTCCACTCAGTCACAACAGTTTTCCACAATAAAAGCACAGCCTCCAAAAGGAGACATTAGCAGCTCCAACCAGCAATTAAAAAAATAAACTGCTGTTTTAGTCATTTGGATGAGTCACAGCAGAGGATCCGAATGTCTTTACTGAGCAGAAGGGTGTGCGTGACACTCCACTGCGAGCAGCTCAAGCCCCAGGCAGGGCTCTCCAATACAGCACTGGTCTTCACACAGGGCACGGATCTGGGATAATCAGAAAGGTTCAAAACCATCCATTCCTTGCTCAGGGAGGCAAAAGCCAATTTACCCTACAAATGAACAGAATAGGATGTTGCCAACGTTACTGTCCACTCGGCAAACTGAATCTCCAGAGCATCTACTTCCCTACAAACAATCTGGCCTCACCCCTTTCCTCGGGACACCTTTACCTTTGAGGCTTTCTTTTCTAAGGGGCCCTTAGTATTCCAAACTGGACCTCCCTCCTCCTAATGGTGAGATCACTGACAAGACTTGATCCAGTGCCACTAAAATAGATGGAACTTTTTGAGCCCACATAAATCCCAGGATTAGTACTACTCATATTCTATATAGAAACACCCCTTGTAAGACACAAGACCCAGCTAACCCATATTACACAGAACCCCCACCAACTTTTGATTAGGGGTGAGGGAGGCGCTTGACGCAGAGTCTTGCTATGTAATCCAGGCTGGCCGTGAATTTGTAGCAATCCTCCTGCCTCAGCCTCCTGAGTGCTAGGATTATAGGCATGTGTCATAGTACCCAGTCTGATTTTTTTTTTGTACTGGGGATCAAATTTGGGACCTTGTGCTTCCAAGGCAGGCAGTGGAATCACTGAGATAAATCTCAGACCTGATATTTGTTTTAAAGACAGGGTCTCACTGTGCATTTCAGGCTGTTCTTGAACTCACTGTATAGCCCAGGGTGGCCTTAAACTCACAGGCATCCTCCTTTCTCAGCCTCCCAAGTGCTGGGATTACAGGAGTGAGCCACCATGATCAACCTGATTTTTTTTAAACAACACATTACGTGCACATTAGATAGGCAATCAGATAAATTAAAAACCCAAATCCACAAAAGAACATTGAAAATCCTTTCTTTCTTGGCGCTGTGTTACTTATTCTGGAACATAAAGCTTTTAAGAAGTTACTATTTTAAAATCACCAAACAGTCCCCCTCCAGAAACCCCATTAACTTGTTAATTTTAAAAAGCTGATCCAAAAACAACTGGACCAAAATAAGTGTATTCTACAGTAGGAAGACAAAGAGAAAAAATATTCAGCTGAGACTGTAAAAAAAAAAAAAATTATAAGTGAGAAAGGGATTTTTTTTTTGGTACTGGGGATGTAATTCAGGACCTTGTGTTTGCCAGGCAGGTGGTAGAACCACTGAGCTAAATTCCCCACCCGAGAAAGGGATTAATTTTGATAAAAAGACCATGGATAGTGTTTTGTTTATTTTTCAAACTTTTAATAGAAAATGTACTTATTTATATATAAAAATATTTATCTGTGTAACAACTGGATCTTTCAAGAAAATACTATGGGCACAATTTTACCAATTCCCACACTTAAATTAAGGCACTGGATAAAAGGGCTGAAAGTGCCCCCATGTGGCTACAGAGGGAAATGCCGGACAATCCACTAACTTTTAAAAGGCCTCAGACTTCCCATAGGCTTTGCATCTTTTCAACACCCTGTGGAATTACTATTCCTGCAAGAGCTTAGAAGTTGGTGTGCTCATATGGTAAGCTTAGATTTCTGTTAACTAAAAAGGGGTTTTATGTTTCTAAAAAACATATACTAATCAACACAAACCCTTAAATTTAGCTGAATCTCCACCACAGAACTGCCAACCCTGGCGGGATGCGAGGAAATGCTCTGGTGTGGGAACAGCTGGGCAAGGATGTGGGTGAAGAAACAAAACTGATGGAACCAAAGCAGTCCCAAGAACAAAAGCAGCTTTTAAGTTCGCTTCAGAAAACAAGCTTAGCTTCTGCTCCCATTTTAGCATTCAAGAGATCAGAAGCCAATTCCAAGGACCAGAATAGAATTTAAGGTAATACCATAAAGATTTGGTTTCATAACAATCCACCAACATGAATTTGACCTCCAGACACTTAGGGGGAGTGTCACTCAATACTGTGACACCTGGGTCAGCAACCTATTTCTTTGAAGAAGAAAGCTCATTTCCCTGTACCAGAAGTATACGCTGTTATACACCATATGATTATAAAGAATATGCATAACTGAAACAGTTTGAGATGTCCTTTTATGTTTTTGATGTCCTCTAGTGAAATAATTTTAGAAATAATTCTTCTCAAAGAAGGAAATGCAAAGAAGGCACTCATAGCTCTAGTTTTTCAAAGACCAGACACCATCCTTGTTATATATTTAAAGAAAAAATTGGGATCATTATTTTAATACCTCCAAAAACTCCATGCCACCAGAACATAAACCTAGGTCTAAAACAACAGGCATAGGCACACCCTTTCTGTCTTCAGAAACTAGACTTGAACTAGACTTGAACAAAGGCAAATACTATATCTGAAAGACATGTTGAACAGGCAGAGTATAAATAAATATTGTCATAACATCGAAGAATACTTCAGAGATGTTAAATGGAAAAATGCACAATATACAGCACAGTATACTGACTGTACAGCACAAGTACAATCAAAGCTAAGCCCACACCCTCATAACCCACTATAGACAGACTGGAAGAAAACACAAATATCAATAGTGACTGAGTGTTAGAGAAGGCTGAGACTAGCTAGAGTTGATTTTGTTGTCATTTTTTGGCTTTCATCTTTCAATGATCCTAAAATTCCATCAAGAAGACTAGGACTGGGTCCAGCATACTATTCAGCTATGGCACATGACAGCAGTAATATACAATGGGAGGTCACAGGCCAGTACAGCAAAAGAAATACTGGGCAGGGGTAACCCAAGCCCCTGGATGAGATCGTGGCTCAATATGACCCTGGACACTGGTTTTCTCATCCCGTTAAAATAAATGGCTGGATCAGAATAGTGGTTCTTTATCCTTAGTGGGTTACTGAACCTTATCTCTATGTCACAGACTCTCCCTAGGGGAAAAGCAAAAACAAAACACACATGTTGACAGAACTTTTAGAAAGAATTCCAGGAGGCTAATGGATTCTCTGGAGGTTCATGACCAAGTTAAGAACACTGGTTCAAAGGCTCTTCTCCAGCTCCACTACCACAGGAAAGTAAACTATTTTCATTCTATCTGCATGAAAGGTCTCCTAACAGCTGCCACCAAGATGACCTAACAGTCATCAGCTTTCTGCCCTAACCAACAGCCACCTCAAAAAAGGGCAGCTTAACTACTCAACCTCAGGCTCCCTGACACATGGTAAAGAAAGAGCTTTGGCACTAGACTCAAAGATTTAGTCTAAAGAGAACTCTAGGCTGCTGGTACAAAATCAAACTGTGAAAGTCAAGGATAGCAGACAGTTACTGAGACACCAGTAGAACAAAGACTGAAAGCTGTTTCCAGAGGTATCTGCTACATTCTGGCACTTCAATTAGAGACCTGTTTTGAAGAAATGGTTATACTGGCCTCAGGATTCTCCAGTGTTAGAAGGAAAGTATACAAAGAATTATAAGGGAAGCCACAAAAAGCAGCATTTGGCCAGTAACAAATTACCTGCCAACAGGCAAGGCTTTCTCTTTTTTTGTTGTTTGTTTTTTGAGACAGGGTCTCACTATTTAGTCCAAAATTCACTTTGTAGTCCAGGCTGGCCTTAAACTCAGTGATCTTTTCGCCTCAGACTGTCAAGTGTGGGATGACAAGTATGTGCCACAAAGTCCAGCTCAAGGCAAGAATTTAAGTTACCTACTCCACAAAGTGCCCTATTCCCTCTCTTGTAGCTATCAATAACCACTTGCTCATTCAACAGCCAAGAAAATGTCTTCCCCAACCCCAGGTTTCAAACAGGACTGACAGACTTCAACTCTGAAAATTCTTATATTAAAAAGAAAACAATCTGTACTTTACTTGTTGAAACAACACAAGAGTAATACTGCTCCATAATACTAGCACTTTTGACAAATTAGAGACGGGGGTATGGGTGTGTCCTGTTGTATCTGAGTCACATCTTGGAGTTTTGCTTACCTAATTCTGCTTTTGAAATAAGCGATATCAAAATAGCCACAAATCAGGAATATGTGGTATCCCAGGAATCCTCAGATGGGCCCTCATTCCTGGCCTTACTAAGGTTTCTCTCCCCAAAACCTTACTGCCTACCATGGGGCCAGCTCCCTTCCGGGGACTTGAGCACAGTTAATCAATCACATGTGCCCAGGCTGAGCAGGTTCAGTCTTGAGGATGACTCAGGGTGGGCCTCTGCCTGCCCTGTTATACTGCTTCTGTTGGACAACGAGAATGCCACACTTCTCACAAGCCAACTCTTGGGGACAGAGACCAGATGCTCTGGACAGCACTCTCCTAGACCAGATACGTTACGTTCCTCTGGCCTCAAAGAATTAGTCTAAAGCTATGATGCCCAGCATGGTTCAGCTTTAAATTCCTCCTGAATTCACTGACAGTTTTCTTTCACTGCTGATGAGCAACTCTTCCTGAATTACTGTACTAAACTCCCTGTAACAAAAAACAAAACAAAACAAAACAACGCAGCAGCAGCAGAAGATGGTTTAAATGGATTAAGTGGTTTCTACTTTTTAAGATAATTCCACACACAGGGCTGGGGATTTACCTCAGCGACCCGCCACCTGCCTTGAAAGCACAAGGTCCTTAGTTCAATCCCTGCTTGGTACCAAAAAAAAGTAAAAGATAATTCCACACAATGTCACCTGTGGGCCAGTAATGAAATTGTTCTTGCCACTCAAGGGTTACTCCAAAGCAAGCTGTTATGTGTTTTTTTTTTGGGGGGGGGGGCTGGGAATTGAACCCAGGGTTTCCTGTACAACAAGCACACGCATCAGCACTGAGCTACCTACACCCAGCCCCATACACACACTATTCAAGAAGTTTGGTGTTAACTAGCAACAAGCCTGAAAATTTGGTTACGTATATAGGTACAAAGCTGGTTCATCAAATCCCTGTTCTGGCCCTCAACCCAATGCATTTCAACTAAGGCATCATCTACTTCCTTCTTGACATTTATCAGACACTTGAATAGGTACTGTGCACCTGCTCCTTGGAGGTGCTTCCCTTTGTCAACTGCAGGGTTGCTGAACTGCTCAGAAGCCTCCCGGTCCTGGGCTCCATTGCTAGAGCCCTTACAACTTTCTACAACCTCTGTCCCTCCCTTTTCCTCACTCCTTTCATCCTCCAGGGATCCTGGGGTTTCCTCCTGGGACAAGGACTCCTGGCTTGGGCAGTGGCCCCCAACAGTGGCAGACTCATCTTCCTGCATGGCAGGCCCACACAGGGCCCTCTCCTGGGGGGCCAAGGCCACATCTTGGCTACTGCCCGCCTCTTTAGAGGTGGCCTTTTTCTCCTCCAAGGCCTGGATGACATCCTCAGGAGCTCGCGGCACTTCCCTCAGCTGTCTCACTCGTTCTCTTTTCTTTCTCCTTAAATGAATCCAGGAGTTTTCTATGGCTGTCAGGAAAAGGCTAACTTCCTCTTTTCCACAGGGAACTCGTTTATGCTGGACCTATGTGGAAGAGAAAAAGAGTTTTATAGGAAATCATTTTTTACCAAATGCTGAGAGAAAGAGAGGAAGAGGAAAAAAGGAAGAGGAAGACAAAAAGAGGAAGAAGAGGAAGGATGGAGGAAGAGGGAGGAGGAGGAGGAAGAAGAAGAAGAGGAGGACAAGGAGGAGGGGAGAAGAGGAGAAGAAGAAGAAAATAGAAAAAGATGAATACTTCATCAGTGCTTCACCAGGTACCTTCAGATCGGTGAGGATTTTTTCTATCCATGTTGTCACAACCACTATGCCTTCCACCGTCTCAGAGCCCAAAGATGATGCTTTGAGAGATAATTCTTTCATCACAGATTCCAACACTACAAATGTAATGGGTTTCCTTGGCTTCTCTAATTTTCTTCGCTTACTTGGTGGTGACTGAAAAGAAAAAAGAAGTCATGGAAAAGAAAAAGAAGTTACCTAAGGCTGGGGATTTAGCTTGCCTCGCAAGCACAAAGCTCAAGGTCCTGAATTCAATCCCCAGTACCAAAAAAACCCAGAAGTTACTTAAATAATAAAATCTCGTGCATTATTATAGACTCAACTACGAACATTTTTAGAACTTCTGCTACTGATAACAGAGTACTAAAAATACAAAGACATTTGCACATTATTTCCAAAACTTAAAATATAGTTACACCTTAAGGTCACACAGCTAGTAACAGCAGGGTTGGGATGAGAACTTGAAACCCAAGTTCCTTCCAAACATACCACCCTGCCTCTATCTCAGCTATCAGTACCAAACTCCTCAAACTGCTGAATGTCCTTCCTGTCTGCTGCGCCCAAAGCACACCTGTACAATTTGGGGTACAATGCTCTGAACAGTATAACATCACCAACTTTTACTTTGGATTTATACTTGCTGAAAAAGCAGCCAGTGAGCCACAGCTTGAGAAATCACATGCTAGGAATGACCAGTGCCACTGACATCACATGAGTGGAAGAGGAGAACTGCTGAATCTTGTCTGAGTGAGTAACCAGGGGACACCAATACTGATGAGAACACTGGATTGCAAAGCAGGTGCTATGAAAATCCAGACTGTTATTATCTATTCTATCTCAAGCTTGGAAGCTGAATTACACCCTACCCACTAGAGGGACTCAAGTTCCATTTGAAAAACTAAATGACACCACTGTATTAAAATTTTTTTCTTTTTTGGTACCGGGGATTGGACTCGGATCCTTGGGCTTGCAAGGCAGGTGGCAACACCACTGAGCTAAATCCCCTGATCCTACAATTTATTTCTTTAAAGTAAAATTTTTCTAAATTTTATCTTTTTTTTTTTTTAAAAGACTGTTGGCCTAGTTCACCTATATTATGGATGCGGTTTTAAAGACAGTTGCACTTGTTGGCAAAATTAAAACTTTTGAAGATAATTCTAAGGTCAGGAGCAAGCTGAATGGGCAAGAATAAAAAGAAAAAAGACTCAAAACAGGAAACAATGGTCAGGTTTAAAGGTTTGGGATTAGAGGAATCCCCAGTAATTGCAGCTGCTAACTTCACTTGTGCCTGACAACACCAACAGAGCACAGGCACATGCTCAGCAAGCTCCAATGAACTTGGTGAGGCCTAATGAGCACTAACCAACAGCCATACACAATAAAATGGCCAGTTTATCCTAATCTAATAAACTTTTAAAGTAATAGCATAAACAATTTTTCTTAAAAATTTTGTATTTTTTCCTCCCCCCGTCCTTCCTTTCAGTATTGGGAATGGAACTCAGGGCCTCATGCATGCTAGGAAAGCATTCTACTACTGAGCTAGCTATACTGCCAGCTGTACATTTTCTCTGTACCAGAAATTCACCAGCATCACCAACAACAACAACAGGAAACTAAAGAATATTAGAGCACAAGCTGAGAAGAAAAAGACCAAAACCAATGGGTGTGTGTGTATTTAAGAATCTGCTTACACACTGCTTGAGAAATGAACAGTGAACTTTAAGCACGGTCCTCTGCAGAGTGTCGCCGTGAACTCCTGCATCAACAGTGCTTGGGAGGAGCCCGGAGCTTGCCCATCCTCACCGCCACCCATAGCAGCCTCTGCCACTGCCTCCGCCACCATGACGACCACCTGCCCCTCACAGGTGCACCAGAACTACCACCAGGCCGCCAAGGCCACCATCAACCATGAGATCAATGTGGAGCTCTACGCCTCCTACATCTACCTGTCCATGTCTTACTACTTTGACCGCAATGATGTGGCTTGAAGAACCTTGCCAAATACTTTCTTCACCAATCTCCCGAGGAGTGGGAACATGAAGCTGATGAAGTTGCAGAACCAGCACGGTGGCCAGATCCTCCTTCAGGGTATCAACAAACCAGGCTATGAGGGCTGGGAAAGCGGGCTAAACGCGATGGAGTATGCGTTACACTTGGAGAAGAGTGTGAACATTCTCCAGTCACTCCTGGAGCTGCACAAGCTGGGCACTGACAAGAATGACCCCCACCTGTGTGATTTCATCAAGACTCATTACCTGGACCAGCAAGTGAAGTCCACCAAAACCAGCTGGTTGACCACGTGACCAACCTGCGCAAGATGGGAGCCCCCACTCCCCAGGCTGGCATGGCAGAGTAACTCTGACAAGCCTCCCCTGGGGCACAGTGACAATGAGAGGTAAGCCACCAGGGCAGGCATGCATGTTGGGGTTACCTTTACCTTTTCTATAAATTGTACCACAACATCTACTTAAGTTCTTTAATTGCTTCAAATAAATGTGATACCCCCCCAAAAAGGACTTGTCTAAGCCTAAATTTGTTCAGTTTCAAAAGAGGCAAATTCATATTATGACAGCATTATTTTAATTACTCATCACTTGGCATAAAATACATAATTCCTGTAATCTACTGAGAGCCTAACACTTTGCATTATCGAGTTTGAAATAAGATTTATGCTAAGTTGGAAAGAAAGATGGTGAGGAGGAGGATGAGGTCAGAAAATCAGATTCTCGATTCCATTTCCCAACATCCAAGGCTGTTACTATGGAGAGCTGGCTGGGACAGGGCTGTCCCTATCAGCCCACTAAGCACACCAAAGGTCACCTTAGGTATGAGTACAAGGTCAGACTTGACTAATTCTTCTTATACCTCCTCTTCCACAGAGTAATCATTTGTGCTGGCAAATACCACCAACCAAGTGAAGCTATTACCTTTTCTCACTTGTCGTGCTACAGCTGGACTGTAATACTCTTTCCCCAAAAGTCAGAATGGAATTTTCATCGTTTCTAGAAATTAAAAAAAGAGTGCATTTTCACCAAACCTAATGAGACTTCTATCAAATATCTGCTGTCAAAGTCATGAGGGAATCACGATGAAATATAGGTAACTGATTATCAAGCTACCTTGGAACTAAAATGCAAGCTTCCCTATTTTAAATGAGGCTCATTCACTGTGCATCTGGCCCCAAAGTTTGCCATATTACACTGAGCAATCAGCAAATATAGTCTTTCTTGCTTGGGGGGGTACCAGAGAACAAACTCAGGACCTTATACTTGTGAGGCAGGCGGTGGCACCACTGAGCTAAAGCCCCAGCCCCAAATATGGTTTTTCTTGAGGGGTGCTACTGATGGAACTCAGGACCTTGCACATGCTAAGTACATACCCTACCATCAAGCCACCCCCCAGCTCCAACAAATGGTACATGTCTGAAGATGTGTAATGAGAGGCATTAATACATACATAATGATAAATACTCTCAGGATTGTTCTGAACTTAGTTTTACTCTACTATAGAAACTAGTCACTGAAGTAACATAATTTATACTCTAAATTCTCTAGTAAGGTTTTTATTTTTTTGGTACAGGGAATCGAACTCAGGGTCTTGTGCTTGTCAGGTAGGCACCAAGCCACTGAGCTACATCCCTGGCCCACTAGTAAGGTTTTCAAATGATTAAACGTTAACTTAAGTATGGCCTATAGCAATCACTTCAGTGAGAAATGAATAGTGAACTTTAAGCATGGCCCTTTTGTTTATACTGGAAATCCCAAGTAGGCAGGGTAAAATGCAAGATCAAGTCTTATAGCATTAATAATTAGTCAAGGATATAGATCCCTGGTATTAGGTCATTTCATACTGTACCACAAACCCTAGGTAAGGAGAAGCTGATTTTCCCCAGTTAAAATGATCTTATCTTGCTAATATGCTTGTAATTTCAAACCAAATATTTTATGGGTTATATTTCTTTTCTTTTTTGCAGAGATCAAACCCAGGGCTGTGCACAAGTACCACCCAAAATTACAATGCAAAATAAGTCTTGTGAGGAGCTGTAGATCACTTAAGGGATATAGGTTTTGTCTTTTTTGTTTGTTTGTTTTTGGTACCAGGGATAGAACTTGGGACTTTGCGTTTGTGAAGCAGGTGGCGAAACCATTGAGCTAAATTTCCAGCCCAGGTTTCATCTCTTTTGAATCCGAATGAGTCAATGAATGATAACCAACAGGGGAGCAGCTTAATTCCACTGTTAATTTGTTACAATGCTTAGAGCACATTAAAGCCACAGATAGGGCAAAACACAAGTTACTAAATGTTAAAATGTTTTACTTAGCCGAACTGTGTACAGTTTTTTTCAAATCTTAAATTTCTACATCTCAGTTGCCTTGAGGAAGCAGCTCAGTGGTAGAGTACTGCAGTAGCAAACACAAGGCTTTAGGGTCAATCCCTGGGCCGGGGACTTGGCTCAGTGGTTCTGCCACCTGCCTTGCAATCACAAGGGCCTCAGTTCGATCCCAAGTACTCCATTCCAAAAAATAAAAATATAAAAAAACAGATCTCAGTCCACAAAGTCAAGAGACTTTCAAATGAGGTGTAAGTTAACACAAAACAGTGACTTTCAGCTGTATTGCCAAAGCTTTGCTGAAATACGCAATGAAGCCGCAGGCAGCACCAAATCAAGGCATTCTCCCTCACAGGTTCTGGAAGAGAAGACAGCCATTTGCTAGAGAGCTACTTACTAAGCATAAAGCCATGGCCCTCTTGTTTTGGACAGCAGTTTCTAGAATGGCCTTTAGGATAAAGGAGTGCTTCTGGCCACTGCACCGGGCCTCCACTGCTCTGCTACCCCCAGGTTCTCCCACAAACAGTGAGAGGACGCAGCTGAGACAAATACATTTTGTAATATGTGGAATTTAGAAATGATGACATGAAAGTAGAAGGGAGACTATTATTAGACAAGAGAAAGGGATATGAATAAGGATGAGTGGAAGGGAGATGTAAGAGGATAATGGGAGATCTGTAAGAGATTATGATGTTGATGTGAATTTATTGTGGTGAAAGTGTACACTACACTCTTACAAGGAAATTTTTTATTTCAAAAATGTATCCACATGGGCCAGCGATTCAGCTCAGTGGCACTGCACCTGCCTTGCAAATGCAAGGTGTTG